CCGAGCCTTGCTTGTCTATATGGCCACTCTGCGTACTTCTTTGTATGTGTGTAATATGGGTTTTGCCTGCATGTGTGTCTGTGCAGCACAGGCGTGCACGCTGTTGGAGGCCGGAAGAGAGCTTTGGGAGCTGGGGTCTGATCCCGCCCCTCTTCAAGAGCAGCCAGGACTTTTAGCCCTGGGCCACCTCCAGTCCCCCGGCCTCACACTCTTCCTGTGATGTGTCAGTCTCTCACCGGGATCCGGCCCGGGGAACGTTAGTCCTTATCAATATTGCACAAACATCCTGAACAAACACACACAAATCTGTGCCGTCCCTAAGATAGATGATCCATGTATGTGGCGGCCTACTGCTCTTAGGCTACAAAGCCACGTCGCATGTTACTGCCTGAATCCTGCAGACAATTCTGACACATGGTGTTTGTGCGTCCAGATACATGGAGGCAGGGTGGAGGCACGGAGAAGGGCTGGCCGTCGGGACGTCCGCTCCGCTCCCAGCTTCTGCGGCCATAATGAACGTGTGCTCTGTGTTTGCTGTATTTTAAAACTCTCAAAAATCGTTTTCAAAGAAAGAAATGAAGCAAAGACGAAAGATGAGGCCCAGGTCAGAGGACGGAATCAGAACCAGGGCCAGGCTTAGCTGGCGTGGGGCCTGGGTGGGGGTTGTGCTGGCTCGGTGGCAGCTCTTCCACACAGAGCCCTGTGTCTCCTGAGCCAGGCTGCTGGCCAAGAGCAATATCACCAGGCAGCCTCTGCCCTCACTCCCAACAGCGCTACCCACCCCCGTCCTCCAAGGTGGGGGTGGGTGAGGACCCATCTCCAGAGACCCTCCTTCCTCTGCCTGGCACTCCAGGGACAGGTCTGTAAGCGTGTGCCTATGGCTTGGCCAACATGGGAGCCTCAGCAGAACTGGACCAAAGGACAGCAAGAGAAGCGTGGTGTGGGGGCCCCACTCCGTGTCCCCTTCCACGGACCTTCATGTGAGTCCCTGCCTTCTAGGAAACACTGGGCCTGGAAGCCAGGGGCATGGCTCACACCTATAATTCAAGTACTTGGGAGAATGGGGGACTTAAAGGCCAGTCTGATCTACCAATCTGCGGGGTGAATTCCAGGACAGCCAGGGCTGTGGAGCCGGCCTCTGTTTCCAAGAAATAAAAAAAGGTAACAAGAGCAAGGGGAGGAAGCCTGCCTCCGGCTGCCCACTCCTTCCCCACCGTAATCTTATATCTGCCCAGAGGCGGGCTCTGCTCTGCGGCCTTCCACAGAATTTGAAACAGTTCACAGGGGCAGGGTGCGGTGGTACACACCTTCCAGAACAAGAGGGAAGGGAAGGGGGAGGAGGGGGAGGAGGGGAGTAGTAAAAAGGAAAGAGAAGAGTGCACACAGGAAGCTAAGGGACACAGCAGAAGTGAGGGCCGCCTTAACTAAGCGCTTGCCGGGAGGTGGGAACCAACAGTCCAGTGAGTGTGAGTGCGGGCGGCCGCTCAGTCAGGAGACTTAGAGAATGTGTCCTGGAGGCTGGGGGCAACCTGAGTGCCTGGGGGATCTCGGGAGACGGTGGGGTTGTAGGAAGCTCCTAATTAATTAGCTCTGGGCTCAGGGAGCCCAGATAAAATCTGTGCTGTAGGGTCCAGCTCCTATTGTGAGCTCACCAAGGACCCAAGAACGGTGTTCAATGTGGAGAGTCCACGGAGGGCCAGAGATGAGAGAGCCAGGAGTCTCTCTGCAGAGCAGGTCCCGTCCTTCTTCCTGGGCACTCTTGAGGAGCCAGACTGGGAGATCATAAGAAACTTCTTTTTCTTTCCCCACCCCCACCCAGTGTGCATGTTTGTGTGCCTGTATATATGGGGGGGGGGGTCTTGAGACAGGTTCTCACTTAGTGTTCTGGCTGTACTGGCAGTCACTAAATAGCCAAGGCAGGGCTCCTGGAGCCCACACTGATCCTCCTGTCTCAGCCTCTCAGTGCTGTAATTACAGGCACCAGCCACCACTTCCTGGTCAGGATAAGCTGCTTTCAAAAACACAGTGACTACTGACATTTGGACTTACCTTTGGGAGGAGACAATTCTTTTTGTTGGAGAAAAGGAAGAAAAAAAAAAAAAAAAAACAGAAAACAAAATGTTATCCAGTGCACTAGCATAGTTCAAGGCTAGACAGAACTACACCTCTCTTTCTCTCTCACTCACACACACTCAGAGAGAGAGAGATCACAAACAAAACTTTGGTTACATGGAGAAGCACCACTATCTTTTTGGGAGTGAACAGAGACAGCTCTCCTGGCAACGACACCACAGTCTGGACTGGAAGCAGCCAGGTGGCTTCAGACACACCAGGAATGCACAAGTTCTGGGTCTGATCCCAGCATAAAATAACATAAGATTAAAACTGAGGCTGGAGAGTTGGAGCAGCAGTTAAGAGCGCTTGTTCATATGGAAGCCCCAGGTTCAAGTCCCAGCACCCACATGGCCGCTCACAGCCATCCGTAACTCCAGTCCCAGGGGACCCAGCATCTTCCTCTGCTTCCAGGGCAGGGCGTGCAGTTGGTGAACAGCCATGCACATGGAATAATAAAATCAAACAAGATTAAAGTTAAAACTAGAACAGGACGGGAGAGTTGGCTCAGTGGTTTAGAGTGTGTACTGCTCTTCCCAGAACCCACCGTGGATGGTTCACGATGACAATAACACACACTCACACACGCATCATGCATACACACCCCACATACTGCACATACATACACAAACACACCCCACGTGTACACACACCCACAGCACACATACCCACAGCACACACACACACATCCACACACACAGCACACACACACAGCACACACACCTTGCAAACAGAAATTTTTGAAGGAAAGGAAGCTGCTGCACACCTCGCCCTGGGGGAAAGCCAGGGGCTGTGCCGACGACCTGAGCTGAGTTTTTCCAAGGAGCAGAGTCCTGGGCTTTGGTGAGACACGGCCACGCTGGCTTCCTGGCCAAGCCACAGTCCACCTGCCTGACGGAGCGCACACAGGTGAGACACCTGAGCTGGGTGGGGATGAAGCTCTTGAAGACACCTAACGTGTCCGGGCCCTGAGATACAAAGGCTGGGTCCTGCCTCCCGGGAGCTGCTCACACAGACTGTTCAGTCACCGAGTGCAAGGGGTGAAGGAGAAATAACGGGCTAAGTGTTCACAGGTGGCGTGTGAGCTCAGGAGTCCTCCTTTTTGCAAATCTTCCCGGGAGAAATGAAGACAGGATGAGGAGGGATAGGACTGAGGCCTGAGGCCCACTTCTTTCTCCTCCTAACAAAGGGAACCTGGGAATCCACAGGGCTGTCCCACAGTGAACTGAGACCAAAGCATGTGATAAGATTAACTGGACGGAGAGGCGAGCAGGTCAGACTAGGAAGACAGAAACCAGGCGCAAAGGCCCAGGGGTAGGCCTGGGAGCAACAAGACGTGTGGAAGGCCTGCACCTGTGGGCCCAATCCCCAGGGTCATGCCAAAACCATCCGCAGGAAAGTTATGAGATGTTATTTGAAGCTCCCGGGCCTTCGGTGACTCCCACCTGCAATCGCAATGCAAGCGTGAGCCAGGCCTGGCCCCATGCGCCTGCTGCAGCCAGGGGTCCTGCAGCAAACCTACAATCTCAGCAGCCTGAAAGCAAGGCGGGAAGAGCATTGCAGGGTGGAGGACAAGCTGCCTTCGCAGCATAACTAGATCCTGCTAAAAAGACAGGTGCACCTAACAGTAAAGTTTAAGAGCCTGGGAAATATTCCCTGGTTACAGCAGCAGCTACTATTTCAGAGGATCTGGTCCAGAAAATTGATCCTCTCCTGCTATCTGCAGGAGAAGTACATTGCAGGCAAAACATAATGTAAAATAAAAATTTAAACTTTTTAAAAATTAAAAATGAAAATTAAAATTAAAAGGGGGGGCTGGAGAGATTGCTCAGAGTTTAAGAGCACTGGCTGCTTTTCAGAAGGTCCTGGGTTCATTCCCAGCAACCACATGGTGGCTCACAACCATCTATAGTGAGATCTGGCGCCCTCTTCTGGTGTGCAGGTACACATGCACACAGAACATTGTACACATAACAAGTAAAACTTTGGAGGAAAAAAAGGGGGGATGCTGGAGAGACCGCTCAGCAGTTAAGAGCACTGGCTGTGTTCCCAGAGGACCTGGGTTCAATTCCCAGCACCCACATGACAGCTCACAACCATCTATAACTCCAGTTCCAGGGATCCAACACCTTCATACAGACAGACACGCAGGCAAAACAGCAATGCACAGTAAATAATTTTTTTAATTCCGATATTTGTTTATTACACTAGGATTTGCCCCATGCATGACAAATGGGCAGGACTCCTGCTCCCTGCATTTTTTTTTTTCATTTTCTTTTCAGACAGGGCCTCACTGTGTTGCCGAGTCAATCGTCCTGCCTTAGCCTTCTGAGTAGCTGGGATTATCAGGCCCAGCCTGATAATGTACTTTATTTTACTTATTTTAAATCATCTTTTATTTTATTATTTTGTTTTGAGTGTTCCAGACAGGGTTTGGCTGTGTAGCCCTAGCTGTCCTGGAACTCACTCTGTAGAACAGGCTGGCCTCGAGCTCACAGAGCTCCGCCTGCCTCTGCGTCCGGTGTGCTGGGATTGAAGGCGTGCGCCACCACCGCGCAGAGAAAGGTGTCAACGGACGAGAAGAGGGCGATTCTATGTGATGCCCAGCGATGGCACGGGACGAGAGCAGCCTGCCGAGCTGCGGACTGATGGCGAGCGGGGGACGGAGCAGGTGGCATTCACACCTTGGAGGTCGGCCGGGGTCCCTGGAGCTAAAGCCGCGCGCTCGGGGCGCCGGAGACTGAGCGGTCCGCAGCTCCGGGGCTGACGCTCGCAGGGCCTCGACCACGCCTCTCAGGGGAGCGCTGGTCCGGGTGGGCGGGACCGGGGGCGGGGCGAGGCGAGGGGCGGGGCCGGGGCGGGGCCCTGGTGGGCGGGGCCGACGGGCAGCCCCCCGCCACGCTGCAGTTAGTTGCCTTGGACCTTCCTGGCGCTTCGGCGCGGGGCGGAGGAGCTCCGGGCGGCTGAGTGCGCCCGCGCCGCCGGACCGTGAGCCGCGAGCCGGGAGGAGCCAGGTGAGCCGCGCCGCGCACAGCGAGCCGAGCCTCCGGCCCCGGTGAGCCGCGCCACACGCCGCCCTCCGGGCCGCCGGGGGCAGCGGCGCGGGGCTCGGAGCTACGCCGTCCGGCTCAGGGACCTTGGCGCCCGCGCGGCGGCGGTGGCTGGGTGGAGGGGGCGGTAAATCAGTAACCCGCAGCGCACACAGGGCCTTTTGTCCCCCTGCGTTCAAAGAGCACCCTGGTCAGCGTTCTGGTTACTTATTGCCCACCGGGGCGGGGGCGACGGGCCGCTGTCTGTGCAACTCCGCTCGGGCACCGCGCTCCCGGGGGGACTAAAGTCGGAGCACGGCAGCCCTCGGGCGGGTGACCCAGAGCTCCTGGGATAAAGATGAGAACACAGATAGGCGCAGTCACTCGCCTAGAGGTCCCCGTCCTGGGAGTGCGGGAGGGTGCGGAGCACCGCGCTTTCTGATGACAGCCTCGGGTCCCAGGAGCGATCTTAAGCCGCCAGCCGCGGCCACCTGGCTTGCAGCGCGTGGCTGTGAGTTCAGGGCAGCCTGGAGTGGGCATAAAACCTTCTGGGACCTGTCCACCCCAGCGCAAGCTGGGCGTGGTAGGAGTCTTTTGTAGATGGGCCGAGCCATTCAAGGATAGGGGACAGGTCAAGGTTCTAAGACCTTGCTAAGCCTGTGGACTGGACGAGAGGAATGAGGGACACAAAGGTACAGACACGAGAGCAAATTGCTGGATTTTAGAATTCACTGAAGGGACTAAAGGGACAGGCAGCGGGACTAACAAGATAGACACTAGCGTTTAAAATGAGGCCTTGAAAAGCTGGGCCTGGCCCGCATGAGCCTTGACAGGTGCTAGCCAGGCTGAGGCAGGAAGCTCGAAGTCTGAAGACCTGCTTGGTTTACAAAGCTTCAGAGCCAGCCTGCCCGGGCCACTTTAGTGAGACCTTGTCTCAAAATAATAAAAAAGAAAGAAAGAGAAAAGGCAGCCTGCAGTTAACCCTTGTAAAGTGGGTGACAGGGTGAAAACAAACCAAACAAACAGAAACAAACGTACTGGACAGCAGAACCGAGATTGCCAAGATTCCAAGGAAGAAATGAGCATGACCCAGCCTAAGTAAGGGCAGGGAAATGAGATGCAGAGTGACTGAGGAGGTCAGATGGCCTGAACGGAGCGGCAGCGGGGAGAGTGGACTGCCGGGCAGGGCTCCCCGCTTGGCGAAGTTTGGAATGCGTCTTCTGAGAATCCTGCTGTTCTCTCCAACTGTCCATATTCTAAAGCGGGACTGTTGCAGAGAAGAGTATGGCCCCCGTGCAAGGATGGCACAGAATTCACAGAACACTTACCCAGCATGGACAGGGCCCTGAAGAAAAAGAGCACTGACCCAAAGGTGCCAGTGCCGCCAGGTGTCAGGCAGACCTAGGTACAGCCTGTCTGTCCCCGGGACCACACTGGTCCCCGATCATGCTAAGGCTGAGCGCCGAGGCTTCCTTTCCGGAAGCACACCCCACACCCCAGCATTTGGACAAGCGTGTGCATCAAACTTAACAGCAACAGTTTGGAAGCAGAGAGAGACTGATTCGTGTCAGACAAAGGGTTCCAGGTCACACTCAGTGAGGCATTGGGAGAACATCTCAGCAGCTCTGTGCGTGTCACCCTCCATCTTTTACCTTTTATCCCCGAAGCAATCCTATGATGATAATGGTCCAGACAGGGACAAAGGTAGGTCTTGGCAGGAATCAGGATTTGAGTTTGTTACTGTCAGTCATGCAACGTCTGTGCTAGTTACAAAACCAGCTAGACGAGAAGCTCAGTGGCACAGTGTTGGCTTAGCACGCGAGGAGGTCTGGGGTTCAATCCCCAGCTCTGCAAAAGCAATAAGCAAAACCGAGCAAGCTTCTGTAGTGTCTAAGATGAAGGTTGAGGGACAAACCACGGGAAGTGTCCTCAGGGCGGGCTCTGGCTGTTCTTGATTGGGACCGTGCCTTGTTAGAGCACCCAACACTGGAGGGATGCCAAGCTGACAAGGAAATGTCAGTGGGGGCCCATGTGACAGCATCCAGATGCTGAAGACCGGCCTTGTATTAGATTTCACTTCTCTTCAACTCTTCAGCAATGGATTAATTTATTCAGCAAAAAATAAATAAATAAATGATGTGTGCTGAGAGTAAGCAAAAGATATGTCACCATCTTTGCTTCCTTCCAAGCAAGTAATCCTGAAAATGTTCTTTCTGTGAAGGCATGCCAAGGTCTCAGTAGGACTCAAGACATACAGGAAGTCCAGTGCCCGAGAGCACTCGCTCGCATACACACACACACACACACACACACACACACACATGCCCTGCAGAATCTCCTAGGGCTCAGCAGCAGTGCTGGCCCAGCCTTGGTCCAGCTGCCCCTTGGCTGGGGGTTCTGATGAGCCAGCTGACTGCTTCCTGTCTCTGTGTCCCCATCTGCAAAATAGCGAATGGGGCAAGAGAGCACACATAACAGGCCCTTTCCTCCCCTCTCTCTGTTTCAGGGAGGCACTCAGCAGGAAAGAAATGTGGCTGCTGGCGGCCCTGCTGAGCTTCCTTCTGGGGACCCCAGCCTTGTTCCTCGAGGTCTCTGAGGAAATGGAGCTGGGTATGGCCCCTAGGGTGGGAGCGGGCATTGGGGGTGGCATGGACTGGCACCAGAAAGGGCTTCTGGCTGAGCAAAGCTGGAGAGGCTCCTGGCCCCAGCCCTGGGACAGTGGCAGCAGGGCTCCCAGCCAGCACTCTCCTATCTGTATGTCTCCCAGAGAGGATTAGCCTAGCAGGGCGCAGGGCCTGAGCTGGGCTGCAGAGCCAGTGGCGAGCCCCTGAGCCCCTCGGCTGTAAGTCTAAGTGCGTCGTTCTATGCACTGGGTGCGTTGGCCGGGAGGTGCAAGCAGCATGTGTGATGTATGTGCCGAGTACGGTGTGCCTCAGGAGTGTGGCCCAGTGTCCTGCAGGTGGCACCTATGGCTTGTGCCTTGTGTGTGTATGTGTGTGGATTTTGGGCAGTAGCATGTCTAGCATGTGTGTCAAGCGTGTGTGTGTGTGTGTGTTTGTGTGTGTGTGTGTCAACTCCCAGACAAAGTGTGGCATCGGCCCTATGCAAAGCATTTGTAGCATGTGGCTATGTGTGTGTGAACAGCATGTGTCACAGGCTCTTTGTGTCCCATGAATGTAGCATGTTCTCTGTATGGGGGGGAGTGAAGGGCTGGCCTCCCATGGAGCTCTGGGTGTCGTGACTTGTGCCCTCTGCCCACAGAGCCCTGTCTAGCCCCGACCCTGGAGCAGCAGGAGCAGGTGCTGACTCTGGCCCTGGGGCAGCCTGTGCGCCTGTGCTGTGGGCGTACCGAGCGTGGCGGCCACTGGTACAAGGAGGGCAGTCGACTAGCTTCCGCTGGACGAGTCCGGGGCTGGAGGGGCCGCCTGGAGATCGCCAGCTTCCTTCCTGAGGATGCCGGCCGGTACCTCTGCCTGGCACGCGGCTCCCTGGCTGTCCTACACAATCTTACCTTGACCATGGACGGTAAGAGGGTCTGGAGGGGGTTTAAGGCTGCCTTGGGAGAGAAACCCTCCTCTCTTGGACTTCAGATGTCTTCCTTTGTCCCTGAATAGACTCCTTCACCTCCATCCATGATGAGGACCCCAAGACCCTCAGCGGCAACTCGAGGGGGCATGCTTACCCCCAGCAAGGTTGGTGTGTCGCTGAGGAGACCTGTGTGGGAGCCGAAGTCAGCTGAGGGTCCTGATCCCTCTTCCCTCTCCCTTCAGCGCCGTACTGGACACACCCCCAACGCATGGAGAAGAAGCTGCATGCGGTGCCCGCGGGGAACACCGTCAAATTCCGCTGTCCGGCTGCAGGCAACCCCACACCCACTATCCACTGGCTCAAGGATGGGCAGGCCTTCCACGGGGAGAACCGCATTGGAGGCATTCGGGTGAGTCCCCGGCTTCCAGGGCAGCCTCCCCCTTGTTTCCACCAGCTCTGGATAGCCCCTCACGCAGGTGGACCTAGCTAACAAGGAAGGCAGTTACAGAGCCTCAGGGCTGGACAGCTCTGGCTCGTGTTCCCAGGCTGCTGCTCTCTCCCAAGCCTCACCTCTGAGCCTTAGCAACAGCTAACTCTTGTGTTCTGGCGGGGGGGGGGTGTTTCTCACTGCTGGTGATGACGTTGATGTTGGGGGGCACTGAAGGTTTGTTTTTATTATCTTTATTTACAAATACCTTGTGCATGGTAGCCCACATAGGCCAGGAGGAACGCCAGATCCCTGGGAGCTGGAATTATATAGCCAATTGTGAGCTGCCTGATGGGTGCTAGGGAACAAATTCAGGTCCTCCAGAAGAGCAGCACATGCCCCCAACCACCGAACATCTCTCCAGCCCTCAGGATACCGGTTTGACACAGGGCTTCTCTATGTATCCACGGCTGTCCTGGAACTCACTCTGTAGACCAGGCTGGCCTCGAACTTGGATCTGCCAGCCTCTGCCTCCCGAGTGCTTGGATTAAAGGCATGGGTGACCTGGGGTGATGATGCTGGTTCTTCTGATAGGCTAGTACAGGCTAGTGTCCAACCCCCACCTCCTGTGGAGTGTCTCCCGTACAGTGGGAAGAAGCATGGACCAGTTGGCATCCTAGGTCTTAGGGTACTGTAAAGAGGAAACTGAGGCTTAGTGGGCAAACACTAGCACAAGGAGCACACCTAGACAGGGTGCAGCTAAAACCTCAAAAGGTTCCTCCTAGGGCTCAGATTACATTTGTCATTGTTGTTGTTTGTTTGACACCAAGTCTCACTCTGTAGCTGTGTAGACTTGACTGGTTTGGAACTCACTCTCTAGACCAGGCTGGCCTTGAACTCATAGCCTCCTGCCTTTGCCTTCCAAGTGTTGGGATCAAAGGCATACACCACCATGTCTGGCCTTCAGACACTTCTTAGTTTTTGGTTTGTTTTGTTGGTTTGTTGGTTTGTTTGTCCAAGGCAGGCTTTCTCTGTGTAGTCCTGGCTGTCCTGGAACTGGCTTTGTAGATCAGGTTGGCCTTGACCCCAGAGATCCTCCTGCCTCTGGCTCCCTAAGTGCTGGGACCAAAGGGGTGCACCACCATGCCTGGCCTTCAGACACTTCTTTTTTCTAAGACTTGCTTATTTTGTGTGTGTGAAAGTTTGCCTGCATGTGTGTGTACTGTGTGCGTGCCCAGTGCCTGCAAGGCCAGAAGAGAGTGTCAGACCTCCTGGGACTGAAGGTGCAGATGCCTGCGAGCCACCACGTGGGTGCTGGGAATCAAATCCGGGATCTCTGGAAGAGGGGCTGAGTTCTTAACTGCTGAACAATGCCTCCAGCCCCATTCAGACTCTTCTTCCAGCCTTTTTCTCTGTCCAAGGATCTCTGGCCTTGGCTGGACCCTCTCTGAGACTAGGAAGATTGGGAAGGGCTCCAGGGGCAGATTCTGCCCTGCCCCTGCCTTGGCTTTCCTGGGTTCCCTCTGAACAGGTCTGTTCCTGCTTGCAGCTGCGCCACCAACACTGGAGCCTGGTGATGGAGAGCGTGGTGCCCTCAGACCGTGGCACATACACCTGCCTCGTGGAGAACTCTCTGGGTAGCATTCGCTTTAGCTATCTGCTGGATGTGCTGGGTGAGTGGACAGGAGGGCGGGGAGGGCGGACAAAGAACTTGGCTTATCTTGGGCTCCATCGTTCCCTCTGGGTGGGTATCTTATCTTCTTGTCTTGGAAACAAAATGGAGTCAGTTCCAGATGAGTCAAATAGCTCCAAGGGTCAGAAGGAAGCAAAGGGTTTGTGGACTGAAGGAGAAGTCTGCCTACAGGGAAAGGGAGAAGGGCATGCGGGCAGGTGGCACGGGCTGAATTCAGCCCTTAAGCGCGCAGTGCACTTGGGGCAGGTATATTGTGCCACGGGTGCAGCATGTGTGGGGTGGGGGACAGGCTGTGGAATTTTACAATGTGAGGCCAAGAAGCTCTTCTGGACCCAAAGGCAGCAGGGCCGTAAAAAGCTGAAGGAAGGTAAACAAAAGGTAGACAAGATCTGAGCTGCCTGTCCAAAAGTCCTTCCCTTGAACCGGGAGGTCGGCTGGGGCGGGTGAGCTGGGTGGTTCTGCGGGTGCCACTGGTCAGGGTTGACGGCCCGGCCTGGCCCCCAGAGCGGTCCCCGCACCGGCCCATCCTGCAGGCCGGGCTCCCAGCCAACACCACGGCTGTGGTCGGCAGCGACGTGGAGCTCCTGTGTAAGGTGTACAGCGACGCGCAGCCGCACATCCAGTGGCTCAAGCACATCGTCGTCAACGGCAGCAGCCTCGGCGCCGACGGCTTCCCCTACGTGCAAGTCCTGAAGGTGCGCGCCCCCCTTCCCCGCTGGGCTGAGCCCCAAGCACCCTCCAGCCGCAGTGTGGCCCCAGAGCCCCCTGGGACCCAGCCTGTCCTCCGCTGCAGACCACAGACATCAACAGCTCCGAGGTAGAAGTCCTGTACCTGAGGAACGTGTCGGCTGAGGACGCGGGAGAGTACACCTGCCTGGCGGGCAACTCCATCGGCCTGTCCTACCAGTCGGCTTGGCTGACTGTGCTGCCGGGTGAGGGCCTGGGGAGGGGGGCTGGGGGCGGCCTGCTGGGGAGGCGGTTTCCTTGGCCTGTGGGGTACAGCGATTTATTTTTTGTGACTGCCAGACACATGCCCCCACTCAGCTCAGCAGGGATGTGTTGGATTCTCGAGACTGTCCCTGCGACCCCGGGGTGTGAGGGTGTAGCTTCAGCTCTGTCAGTGTGTGTCGCTGGAAGCGCTGGTAGCTGTGGGGCCTAAGCTGGGGAAAAGGGCCGGTGCAGCTGAGCGCGCTGACGGCTCGGTTTCTCTGTCCATCTAACGAGCAGAGGAAGCCCTTGCGTGGACAGCAGCTTCTGAGGCCAGATCCACAGACGTCATCCTGTATGTGTCTGGCTCGCTGGCTTTGGCTGTGCTCCTGCTGCTGGCCGGTGTGTATCACCGACAAGCCATGCACGGCCACCACTCTCGCCAGCCTGTCACCATACAAAAGTTGTCCCGCTTCCCTCTGGCCCGACAGGTACCTGTCCCCCCAGCCCTGCCCCATGCGACTCTCAGCCCAAACCCCAGCAGGCACAACAAATCTCCTGCTTTGCAGTTCTCTCTGGAGTCGGGGTCCTCTGGCAAGTCAAGCTTGTCCCTGGTGCGAGGCGTCCGGCTGTCCTCCAGCGGCCCACCCTTGCTCACAGGCCTTGTCAACCTCGACCTGCCCCTAGACCCACTCTGGGAGTTCCCCCGGGACAGGTACAATGTGCAGGCCAAGGATGGGGTGCCAGCTCAGGAGGGGTGCCCACAGACCTGAGGCATGGGCCTTCTTGATGTCCAGGCTGGTGCTCGGAAAGCCCCTGGGTGAGGGCTGCTTTGGGCAAGTGGTTCGAGCAGAGGCCTTCGGCATGGACCCGTCCCAGCCTGACCAAACCAGCACTGTGGCTGTGAAGATGCTCAAAGGTACACATGAAACCTGGACAGGTGGGCAGGGGTCGAACAAGGGACTGTGGGGACTGCCTACGCAGGGGCGTGGTGGCACAGGCCTGTAGTCCCAGCACTCAGGAGGCCATCAGGAGAATCTCTGTGAGTGTCAGGCCAGCCTGGTCTACAAAGCGAGTCCAGGACAGACAAGGCTACACAGAGAAACCCTGTCTGGAGACAAACAAATAAAACGTCTCAGTCTCAAGGCTGGAGAGATGGCTGAACCAGTAATTGTGCTTGCTGCCCTTGCAGAGGACTCAAGTTCAATTCCCAGCACACACATCAGGCTACTCAAAACCACCTGTAGGGCTGGGGAGACAGCTCAGTGGTTAAGAGCACTGACTGTTCTTCCAGAGGATCAGAGTTCAAATCCCAGCACCCACATGGCAGCTCTATAACTATAACTCCATAATCTGACCCCCTCACACAGACATAGATGCAGGCAAAACACTAATGTGCATAAAAATCAGTCAGTCAATCAATCAAGCACTTGTAATCTAGCCCCAGGGTTTCCAACATCTTCTGGCTTCTGAAGGCTCCCAACACACGCACACACATATCACATCCACACACACGCGCGTGCGCATGTCTCTGTGTAGGCTTGGCTATCCTGGCTTGCTTTTACAGGCAAAAAACAAATCTTTAAGGAAAAAAAAAAAGTCCCAGGTTCAAATGGGGCCTAGCAGCGCAAGCCTTTAATCTTAGGAACTTGGGTGGAGCGGTGCTGCTAAGGCTACAGACTGAGCTCAAGTGCAGTCCGGACAACCTAGGAAAACCTCTTCCCGAGATAAGAAGAGGGCAGGCTGAGGCTGCCTAACAGTCAAGGGCCAGCGTCACCAATGTCCACTCCCAGTAATGACAGAGAGCATTAAGGAGCCCAGGCCCCAGGCAGTGTTCCACAGTGCTCTGCGGTCACTTGGCACTGGCCCGCTGAAATCTCTTGTCTTTACAAGTTGACTGCTTTTTCAGATGCAGTCACACTGCACAGTCCTGGCTAGCCCGGAACTCACAGACCAGGCTGGACCTGAACGCACAGAGATCCACTGGCCTCTGCCTCCCAAGGGCAGGGATTTAAGGCAACTATCGTGGTGTCTGTGATATGTGTGTAAGTGTGAGCATGGGTGAGCAAACACCGTAGCCTGTGTTAGCCTCAGAGAACAACATGTGGGAGTCGATTCCAGGGACCAAACTCTTGTCCTCGGGCCTAGGCACCAAGCCATCCTGCTGGCTCCTTACACTTTCTTCTGTGTGGCCATTATTTATTGTTTTGTTCTGCATAAGTCACATCACACTCACTCAGTCTTTTGGTGTTTGGTATTATACCATTTGGTCCTACCCGTCTTGCTGGGCCCATTAGAACCTGCCGCTGCTGTCCCCAGCCCCTGCGCGGCCCCTCCTCCCTCCACTCTGCGCAGCTGGAGCCAGCTGGCCTTTCTGTGAGGCAGTGATTGTGGAACAGGCTGTTTTATGTTGGTGTGTGGCTAGGATAAGAGTTCCGTCTTCGTCCCAAGGCAGCAGGTCATCTCTGGGGCCTAGTCCCTGGTCCTCTGCCCAGTCTCTCTGGAGAAATCATGGCAGTCTCTTCCCTCAGCGTGCGTCCTGCCCCTGGAAACGGGTGCCTTTCCCCAGCATGCTTAGCACAGCCTCCTTCCCAGCTGGGCCTCCCTCCCATCCCATGGCCTGCTGGTGGGAAGGCTATCTCTCTCAGACTCTTCGTGTTTCATCCTTGCAGCCTCTGTGTTGCGCTTCACAAGAGCTTGAGAGAATCGTGGGGCGTGGGTGTGTGCTGGCCGTGCATGTGGATGCAGGCGTGGGTGTGCGACCTTAGGAGGCTTCCGCTACTACTCACAACCTTTTTCTGAGACACAGTCTCTCACTGGCCCCGGTGCCCTCTGTCTCAGCTTGAGCACTAGCTGGCCATGCAGCTGCCAGCCACCTCCAGCCTGAGCCCTGAGCGCCAGGGCAGCCGCTGCTGCACAGAGCTTTCACACGGGTGCTGGGGACCCGAACTCAGGTCCCCCTGCTGCACACACCTTATCCCCTGAGCGTCTCCCAGACTCTTAAAGCCAGACAGAGTGGCACATATCTTCATTCCCAGCAGCCAGGAGGCTGAGGCAAGCAGATCTCTGCGTTTGAGGCCAGCCTGGTCTACAAAGTTAGTGCTGGAACAGCCAGGGCCACACAGACAAACATTGCCTTGAATAAATACATGAGTTGTTTTGTTTCATTACGATTTTGCTGTTCTAAATAGACTGTCCTGGAGCTGGATATGTAGATCAGGCTGGTCCCAAACTCACTTACTTCTTTTGAGTTTCACGTATGAGTCTATATTTAGATAATGTCCACGCCACTCTACCCTCCCTCCAAACCATCCTGTGCTTCCCACGCCTTTTCAAACACACACACACACAGATACACACACACACACACACACAGATACACA